TATTGAAACTGCATAATGTAAAAAAAGTAAATACACAAAATGCCTACAAATGAAATACTGAATCTAAATCTTCCCTCTCCTCTCCTTCTTGAAAATGACCCAATTCCCATTAATATGATGATAAATGTAGTTAATGCGGCTTTTGTCTATCACACTGGGTTCTATTGTTAATATATATGTACATTTATCATTTAAGATCTTTTTGCATCCCACAGTGCAGTGGAGAAATTATTATTTTTGTTCATATCAACCCTTTGTTTCAAGCGCAGCCAATACAGTGCAATGATATGAAGAGCAGCAGTCTCTGAGGAGAGACAACTCCACTGATGTTCTATGAGCACTTTTCTGCTTTATCATCGGCAAAAAGTCCAGTGTAGTCTCCCTGCACACCCAGAGGTTTCACCACGGCCAATTTATCATTTAGAGTGTTCGACTGGCGGAGTTGGCCCTTGCTTTAGCTCCCAGACATTCAATAGGACAGACATCGTAATTAGCAATTCTATTAAATATTTAGGCCAGCTCTTTCAATTATTCCCACTGTCAGAAATTTACTAACTATTCATTTCCATTGTGTCTTGTGTGCAGCCTGGAGTTGGAGTAATTACGTCGCTCATGTACTCATGGCCTTTCTCTCCGTTTAATTAATTCAACTTAATGAAGCATGTTTAAATATGTGTCAAATACATAACACATACATTATGGATTACATCGCCACTAATGCTGCTAATTAATTCTATTTTAATTTTAATAGCCAGTTATTTGAAAAGAAAAATCACACACACAAAAGGAATTCAGAATTAATTCGTTAATGAACGGTCATATTACATAACTGCAATATGATACTTGTAGTTTTTACTTGATTAATGGTGGCGCAGTGGTTAGCACAAGAAGGTCTGTTTGCATATTCTCCTTATGTCTGCATAGGTTTCCTCCAGGTGCTACGGTTTCCCCTTCCACTAAAAACATTAGGTTTGGCATGCTCCTCCTGTAAGGTGCACCTTGCGCCCAACAATACATATAGTGAGAGCACAAATGACTTTAACAATTGCAAAAGCGCTTTGTGACTATGTGGCATTTATATAAATAAAGATGACTCACTTTGAAGGATATTCTACTTATGAATATAAGAATATATGAATACATACGACTATGAAAGGTTCTGAATTAACTCTGCAGTTACACAACGTCATCTCTATTTCCCTGAGCACTATTTGACAACACAACAACTCTTTATTGTCTAACGCAATATCAAGTTTGAGTCATAATTACCTCATACCCTGATAATTACCTCAATTATTTATTCATTCATTTATGATTTCCACCTTGATGTCAGTACATGAAAGCCCTCTAAGCTCAGGGACTTCATTTTATTTTTTATTTTTTGACATGCATCCCATAAAAATAAAACGTGCTATAGCTCCAGGGCATTTGAAACATAAAAACAAAAAAAAGTATTTATCAAATCTATTCTAGGATCAATTAGGACCAGTAAAGTTCAAGTCCAAAATTAAAAAGATTAAATTGTCCGAACAGTTGGTCATTTGACTGTTAGACAGCAGCTTTATTCATCAGAGGATAAAACAGCTCTTTTGATTCAGAAACACATTCATTTTTAATTTGGTTGATTTTTAGACAGATGCTTTGGAGACTTTAGCTATTAATTATAAAAGTTTAAATGGAGTCAAGTAATGAGTCAAATTCAATTGTGTTCATACAGAGATAACCCAATGGCTGTTGATAACAAACAAAGAATACACAAGAGGAAAATGAGGAAGGTCAATTTTATCACAGAACGTTCACTGTAAAACTAATCGCACTGTGTCGGCCCACTCTTCCTTTAGTGTCATTAGAGGACACGGATGAACCATTCAAAACATAATTTGCACTAGGACTGAAAACTTGCACTGCTACATCACTTTGTAATTGTCCATTGAATAATTTTAAGATACATAAGATACTCTATATCTTTTTTACTTTTTTAACATGCCCATTTCCTGTTTTTTTACACACCCTGAGTGATCCCATATAAGCCAAATGTGACATGTACATTTCTCTGTTGTGAGATCAATCGTTTCATCTTATATGATCTTGATTTGGAATGAGAGTGAAATAGTTTTGCATCAAGAATGAAAGTGACAAATTGCATTATACAGAAACGATGCCAATCAATATTTACATGAAATTCATACAGATAAGGAATAAAAGGAAGTAGGGATAGTGAGTTAGTTGATGCAAGATGCAAAGATACGTAGGAAGCCGTGGCTCTAGGGCATGGAAGTTTGAGTTACATTCTTGCGAGATATCCGTATGAATTCATGACTATACCCATTCTTAACACTGCTATTTACCCAAAAGCTAACAACAATGTTACTATCACTTCCGACAGCACAAGAATATGCGAAAAATGATCTGATCTGTCAAGCTGTCATGTTCACCATCCCGTCTCACGGTGACAAGCTTGGGTTAAACTTATCCCATTTTGTGGCAAAAGTGTCATTCAAACTTACCAAAGCCCCAAAAGTAAACGCAGAGCTCCATTTTTGTTGTTGCCGTGAGTGGATTTCTATATCGCTTGATAGATGTGAGGTATCTCAGGCATGCCATTTTGTTTCACTTTGCTGTCGTCTGTAATTTCACCTGCGCTAATGACCACTTTGAATCCATTACATTCGGTGTGGGCCATTGGCATAAGTAGCGTTAATACGAACAGTGCTGTACAATGGCTCTCTTGCGTCACGTGACCCTCGCTCGAATAGCTTGCCGAGTTGTAGCTAAAACCGCGCATGCTACCTCAATGAACCTATTAAGTCTGTAATGTCTTGGGCTGTGTAATACGCTCCTGGTTGACGGGAGCTCTCGCCAGTAACTATGACGTCCAAGGTATCAATAGCTGACATGCTGTTACAACCTCAGAGCTCATTAGTTTTAATTATTGCCACTCTTCAAGTCTCTTATGACTGCCTTTGCCTCTATGGACACTGTTCTTTCAATTAGCTGGCTCTAACTTATCAGATAATCATCCCATAATCTTTGGTACCCTTCAGAAACTCCATATAGACCCAAACTATTACACTTTATTCTTGAATCTCCAGGTTTTTTGAAAGGCTATTTAATTTTAATATGGTCCTTGAGAGATCGGGCTATCATTATGGATAGCAGATGGTTTGATATGCCGTATTATCTCGTGCAAATTTATGGTGAGTCACAGAGGTCACCAAGCAAATGAAACTTGCCTAAAGTGGATATGTAAAAGAGCTGGAAACTTGGCAAACAAAAGCCGTCATTATGGGTCTGTTTTATGCAGACTCTGATAGACAATGTGTTGTGAATGCATGATGCCTTCAAGGGCAGCTATTGGAAGAAAACCATAACATTTGTCTCGTTCACCTGTGAAAAGGGGACTTGTATTGTTCTCGTCATTAGTCAGTCTAAGTCATGAGGAGAACCTAATTATAAGTTTAACATTACTTTGTCCTCTGTCAACATAATTTTGCTGTTGTGGTTTGGCACGCCGCATTGGTGACTCATAGTGTCATTGAGACTTCGACAAACTTTGATCCGCAAGGGAAATTACTTGGACAATGGACACACAAGCTCAAACAAGTATTAATTAAAATGGCAACAAACAAGTTGAAAGTGTTAGAAGTTAAAATCAAAATTATAGAAATATTAATGTTGGTTTAGTTAATACAGGTGACAGTGACTACTTTATGATTTTATGATGATTCATGATTTTTGAATGTGTGATCACAAGTGGACAAACCCAGCTTTATATTACTTACATTGGTCTTTGAAATTGCTCTGAATGCAATGCCAGGCGTGTCTTCTGCTCAATCCAGCACACGACTAGGCCCGTCTCAAGTTTGTTAGAGAGCATTTGGATGATTCAGAAGAGGATTGGGAGAATGTCTTATGATCAGACTAAACCAAAATAGAACTTGTTGGTAAAAATTCAACTTGTCGTGGTTGGAGGAGAAAGAATGGAGTTGCATCCAAAGAACACCATACCTACTGTGAAGCATGGGAGTGAAAACATCATCCTTGAGAGATGTTTTTTCTGCAAAGGGACCAGGACGATTGATCAATGTGAAGAAAATAATGAATGGGACCATGTATCGTGAGATTTTGAGTGAAAACCTCCTTCCACCTCCATGACCCAGCCACGTTTCAACTTTAATGCCCATCATTGAAGATGAAACGTGGCTGGGTCTTTAAGCATCACAATGATCCCAAACACCCTGCCATGAGCAACAAAGGAGTGGCTTCGTAAGAATCGTTTCAAGGTCTTGGAGTGACCATGCCAGTCTCCAGATTTCAACCCATAGAAAATCTTGGGCGGGAGTTGCCCACCGACAGCCCCAAATCATCACTGCTACAAGAGATGAGAATGGAGGAATCCAAAAACCTTGTGAAAACTTTCAAAAAACGTGAGAACTCTGTCATTGCCAACAAAGGGTATAAAACAAAGTAATATATAGATGTGATTTGTTGGAATTTTTTTCATCTGTTTGCCCCTCAAAACTGGCTGGTTGAGGTGTACCTGTGGTGAAAATTATCTCTAAGACCTTGCACAATTGGTGAATGAAAGAATGAATGGGGCTGACTACATGTTCCATGGTTTTAAGATTTTATTTGATATATGTTGTTATTTTTAAGAGAAAAGAATAGCACACTCACACACACTCTCACATATGATGTTTTCTTTTCTCTGGCAAAGGAACATTCTGAATCTCTGTGGGATGTATATAAATAATAAACTTACTATAATATTTCTTTCCAATGAATAATAAATTGTTCATTTCCATCCTCCGTTGAAAGCCGCGTGAACAGTAGTAGCTGTCATTGCACTGCCAATATTAGTTTATTTTTTCTCATAGATTGTGTTTGTTTGTTGTATTATCAAGGCCTTTCCATTTCAATTTCCATTTTTGGAAGCAATGATACATTTGTGAGTTGTTATACTATAATAATTTATATTACCATTTATCTTATTTCCGCAGAATTCTTTTTGGAGCTGCTGGAGAATACGGAACGCTCTTTAAATGAGATGTTCGTGAAGACTTATGGAAAACCGTACATGCAGAACTCGGAGGTGTTCGAGAACCTTTTCGCCGAGCTGAAGCGATATTACACCGGCGGCAACGTCAACCTGGAGGAGATGCTGAATGATTTCTGGTCGCGGCTGCTGGAGCGAATGTTCTCTCTGCTCAACTCCCAGTACGTCATCACTGAGGACTATCTGGAGTGCATCAGCAAGTACACGGACGAGCTCAAGCCCTTCGGAGACGTGCCCAGGAAGCTGAAGGCCCAGGTCACACGGGCGTTCATCGCAGCCCGCACGTTTGTCCAGGGTCTGTCGGTCGGCCGCGAGGTGGCCCAACGAGTGGCCAAGGTAATTTCAACAATATATTATAGTCTAACCTCTAGTCTAACCTTGTTTATGTCTGATTATTTCTGTGTGTGTGTGACTCCTGGTTTGGCTGATTTTTGATAATCTATTAGTTATCTGTTGGCTGTGAATATAGGATTTGAAATAGTTTGAACAGGAAATGAATAGAGTACTAGCTAGGTGACAACAATCTCAATAATCAATCATTTGGGAATAATCTTTTAACTTATTCTGTCAGGATTATTGTGAAAATAGACGAGGTAATTTCAACAATATATTACAGTCTAACTTCTAATGATTGTTCATGTCTGATCATCTCTTTGTGTGAGTCCTGGTTTGGCTGATTTTTGATAATCGATTAGTTTGTATATTATTTATCCATTGAATGTATTAGTTTTACAGATCACAAAAGGCCTGGGAATATAGGATTTTAAATAATTTGCACATATCCAAAGCTAAAATGAATAGATTACTAGTTAGGTTGCAACTATCTCAATAATTGATTATTTGGGAATAATCATTTAACTTATTCAGTTTATTTGTTTGTTACTTAAGAGGAGTGATGGTAGGAACAAGTAGAAATGCTAATTAGTAATTTTCAATTCATTTGGATTACAGGTTTTTCCTAAATCACCCTGGATTTCATAAGATAAATGGGAATCGTACTTGTCCTAAAATGTATGTTAAATATGCTGTTAACAATTTAAAAAATAGTTGATAGATTACTCGATAATCGGTGGAACAGGCTCGACTCCACAAACAAACCCTCACATACCAATCCATGACTTTTTATTTTTTTCAAACATCCCAAAATGAGACATCAAATCGACAAATTGTTTCTGAGAATCTTATTTTGTTCAGCGTGTTCAAGGTCTATCCAGTGTGGGACTTGTACTACTCTTACCCGTGTTTTTCGTGTCTCTGGGTGCAAGTGTATAAAGGTCTTTCCTCAGCATAGAGCTAAAATGATTATAGATGGCTTGAGATAAAAAGTACTTTCTACATCACAGGTTATTGCCCTCCTGCCTAATATTTGTGCACCCACTCAGGAAAGGCTATTAATCACATGGAGCTGGCTCAGATGTGTCGCCTTTGATAGTAAGCAGTATTTTACAGTGTACTTGAGCCCATGAAGTTTTGTAGACTGCGAAAAGGCTTGGAATAAAGAAACAGTAGCTCGAGGTTATCCATGCTTTTAGTGGAGGCGATAAGCTGCAAATCCCTGTAGTCACCCGAGCTTCTTTGTGCTATTACCACATTGCTATCAGTAAGATTGGATTATCTGCACTATTATAAATATTTATGGAGCCAATGGTGCGCTCTACAACAAGCCAACGAAACGACGCTATGAGCAGATATGTAGAAAGCTGAACTCCAAGAAGAAACTGTGGTGGTTGACTAGAATAATAATAATGATAATAATAATAAAGCATTGGTTTTATACAGCGCTTTTCAGGACACTCAAACATGTTTTCATTTTCATTTATTCATTTATTTCAGGCAATGGCACAAGTGATAAAACGAGGTAATTAAATGCAATTAAGTAATATAAATAATAGACCAAAAAAAAACAGTGTTAACAAAAAATGTATAAACAAAAATCTATGGTATAACATGGCCATATATTTCTGCCTGAAAAGGAGTGGGAAGAAGAAAAACTTATTTAATCCCACCCCTATATCCCCATTCAGTGATTAAACGATCAACTTCACGCTTCACATGTCATTATTTATGCACGCCATACACAGTGGTGATAAACTACTACTGTTGCCACAGCTGCCCTGGGGCACACTGACAGTAGCGAGGCAACCTGCCATCGACCCATTCGACCACCACCAACCATTCACACACACACACACCAGAATCCTTCTAGGCAATGTGGGTGAAGTGTCTTGCCTGGAATGCAGAACAATCATACGATGTAGTAAGAGAGATTTAGAGAGATCCTTTATTCGTCCCACAGTGGGGAAATTTCAGTGTTGCATCACAAGTTAGAGAACAGTAGGAAAGAGGAGCACACAGCCTCAAGATAAGTAAACAATAGCTATACCAATTAAAATAAAACAAAATCTCAAACTCGAGCATCAAATAACAAGTAAAAAATATCTATCTTGAAACTAATATTAATAAAAACGAAGTATAAAGTTTGACAATATTCACAGCATTAAACCGTGTAGACTTCTTAATTGTTGAGAAATGTCTAGTATTTACTCAGGCCTAGTCTCCCTTTGCTCCACTTGTCTTTCCCCGTGCTGCGGTCTTGCACTGGTTGAACTCGGAGTGTCCTTTCTCCCCCTCACGCTGAGCTCATTTATAGTCTGCCATAGAGGATGTGTTGTTAGTATGTGTTTACTGAGTTACACGGCGCATTGCTTACGAGCCATGTGTCCCAGCGCGACCCTTTGACATTTGAGCAGGACCCCGGATCCAGGTCATATGTCTGGGACTGCGGGCCTTTGATTCCTCTGGACCTGTAAACTCATCTCAAGCATAATGCAATAGGACACCTCCAGCTACTGATGCCTCCGAGTTCTCTGCTCGGAGCTGCACTGAAATACTGCAGGTGATGGAGAGGTGTTTTTTGCACAGCTTGAGAGACGTTACAACAGCCGGCTATAAGTAAGTTTATCTCTGCACCTGCATCAGCGCTGACAGTCTTATAATCGCACGCATTTAGATGAAGAGAATTAGACACATCAGGATAATATTTGTGTGGCAAAAAGCAACAGCGCATATGGGGTTTTTAATGGATGAAGCCACAGCATCAGAGAAAAACAAGTAAATTGATCATGCAAAATGGATTCATTCATTTTTCTAAATCGGAATTTCAACCTGCTACAGCCTTGAAATGTATCATGAAATGTATAAATGATTATTGCAATTAATCACCAGGGTAGAAATTATTATTTATTTCCAATTAAAGGTGCAGTAAGCAATTTTGTTAGCTCAGCCCTGACACCAACTCGAAACCACTCCCCCCTCCCCTCGCCTCTCCACCAAACCAAACATCCAAGATTTTATTTTCTTTGTCACAACAGGGAGAGTGGGTGGCAAATGTGAAATCAGCATTTTCTGTCATTTTAGGTTTTAGAAAATCCGATTACTCAGGTGCGCGCACTCGCGAGAAACAGGTACCGGGTGAAGGGGGGTAAATGGGGGTATCCCATTGGTTCGTTGAGGATGAACGAATCCCATTGGTTTATTTTTATCGGTCCGCTCCAAAATGCTTTTTATTGATTTTTGTAGTCTATAGGCATCTGGTCACAATTCCATTACTATTTGACAACATTTGATCAATTTAATACTTTTAGGGTTTAGGGTCGTTTTCCCACAATGTTTTAATAGAATGCATCTGGAAAAAATCTCTGACTGCATATTTAATTCAGTATTTGCCCTGGGAGAGCCAAGTCTATGATATCGGACAATATAGAAGCTCAATGTGTGGTTTGTTGTGTCTGCACTCTCACAAACCCTGCAGCACATTGTTAAGTTCATGTATATAGTTTTAGGAACGTGCACAACTTAAACACGGCTTTATCACCAAACCGCAACCAATCCGCGCCTGTTCTCAGGAAGTGCCTCTGGTCAGACACACGCTATGTCTTCATGTTTTCTGCCGAAAGTCCGTCAAACCTTTGACTCGTTTTACATGCGACCTTTATATTATTCATGGTGTGCACCCGCGGCACCGCACCCGTAAACATGATGCACTCGCCCACGTGAGATTGATGGAATCTTATCTGAATCTGTCACTGCTGTCACCGCACTGATCAGGAAAACCATATTGTATGGGCCTTTATTTTCACTCAGTTCTTATTGAGCCAGGGTATTGAGAGAGGAAATATGTTTTAATTATTAATATTCATTGCTACTAATCAGACTTCTCACTGTGTTTTACAAGCATAAAGTCAGAAGTTGTCTAACACTATAACATATTGTCAAAAGCGTCATTTCGGACAATGAGGCAAAAATAGTATCTAACATTGTGCACATACACTTACGGATTGCGCCCAAAGGCTTTTTAGCATACTGTACATGTTTTTATCATACTGTACATAAGCATAAAGAAGAAGGACATGTGTTTTTCTATTGTTTATCAGGTTGTCCAAATTTGAAAAAGAAACGCGCAGATACATCATTTGGCTTTTGCTTTCTATTCCATTTGGTGCTGCTGAGTAAAAAAGTGAAGGCACCTCTTATTTCCTAGATTGCTTTAATAGTTTTACTTTATACTCACCCTTTTGCTTCAAAGTAGAAATATGTGAATCACAGTGAAAGGAACTATTAAGCCTACAATTTCCCCAGTGCTATTACTGTCCAGATTATTACCCATTTCACTTGATAAATGTCCAGGCCGCTAAATACACCCTGGAGGTCAATATAAACATAAGAATTCAGGTTTTCGTTTTAGCACCTAAAATGAGACACATCTTTTTCAACATGCATGAATGGGCTAAATAAATCCAGGGCTGTCAAATGCCTATATACAGCTGGGTGCTAATAGAAACTCCAGTTAGTTTTCTGCCTTGTTGGGCTGCCAATATATTCATCTATTAATAATGCTGTCTGAACATTCTGGCAGGAGAATTTTCACAGCGTTCTTCACAAACCAAGATTTATGCATATTGATTTCACAGTAGGTTGCCATTGTGCCACTTGAGGTCTTTGTTATTGCTCAGATGAAAACATAGCAGCCGTGGTAGCGATAATATACTGTACATCATCAAGGTGAGCGTCAAACTTATAGAAGGTCAGGTTGTTTAAGCAAACTTAGATCCTACTTACGAAGATGTTTTACTATCATGAATTACATCAGTAAGCAACCCAAACGCTGGTTTTACAGTCCAATGGATCTCTCTTTTTATTTTATTTTTATTAACAAAACAGACAAACACAACAACATTCAACAAGAACACAAAAACTCAAAAGTACAATTTAAAACAGAAAAAACATGACAAAAAATACATACAATTAAAATAAACTTGTTACAGAGCATGAAATTC